TAGTAGGTAGTAGGTAGTAGGTAGTAGTAGTAGTAGTAGTAGTAGGTAGTAGTAGGTAGTAGGTAGTAGGTATAGTAGTAGTAGTAGTAGCAGTAGCAGCAGTAGTAGTAGTAGTAGTAATAGTAGTAGTGGTAGTAGTAGGTAGTAGTCGTCGTCGTAGTGGTAGTGGTAGTGGTAGTGGTAGTGGTAGCAGTAGCAGCAGCAGCAGCAGTAGCAGTAGCAGTAGCAGTAGCAGTAGCAGTAGTAGTAGTAGTGGTAGTGGTAGTAGTAGTAGTAGTATGGTAGTAGCATTAGTAAATCCGCCGGCCCTTGGGCGCCAGCATGTTTTATCAATGTGGCTTGTATGTATGTAGCTTAAGTTATGTTGAATCTATATGTAATAAGAAAAGTGTCTCTGGAGCAAGTTTTTTGCCTCGTCTCACTTGACCCCCCTCCCCCCCTTCCCCCCGCAAGAACATCCCGTATGTATGTAGCTCACATATATCATAGCTAAAGTGAAAGGTTGCGCGCGCTTCCTTCTTATCGTCGTTCTTCTCTTGTCGTTGTCCACGCATTGCGCTTCTGCTTTGCATGCGTTTTTCTCAGGTTTTGCACCTGCACTCACGTATCTATCGTTTTTTGTAGACTCAGACTGCTTGGAAATCCCCATGCCACACATGTCCTCATTACTCTCTTGTATCATCTCTGACGGAATGCTATGTACGTTTGCTGCTTCGCACGGTCTACTTCGCTCATTGTGTCACACGTCATATAATTTGTCTTCTTGCTTGGCAGGCTATACTTTGCATCCCCCAATTTCATCTCCCAGTTCTCTTATTGTATCATAATGCACGTCATTTCATGTAGGCTCCTCTGTTGCTCCAGCTGTGTTCTGGATGACGCTGTTACTTTTTCTGCTCTGTTGCAGTCTTTCCTCTTGACGCAAAAGGTAATCCGCATCTTGGGACCATTGGCTGAAAAGGCCGGCGGAACAACCCGCAGGGCGTAAATAGTAGTGCACAGTTTGGGGCCCGACCTTCGGGGCCCGAACCTAGGAAACGTCCGGGGCCCTAGTAGTAGTAGTCGTCGTCGTCGTCGTCGTCGTGGTGGTGGTGGTGGTAGTACTAGTAGTAGTAGTAGTAGTAGTAGTAGTAATAGTAGTAGTACTACTACTACTAGTACTGCGATGGTAGTAGCAATAGTAAATAGTAGTGTACAGTTCGGAGCCCGACCTTCGGGGCCCGAACCTTGGAAACGTCCGGGGCCCTAGTAGTAGTAGTAGTAGTAGTAGTAGTAGTAGTAGTGTTGTTGTGTTTGTGACTGCGTTTGTGATTGTGTTTGTGCTTGTGGTTGCGTCTTTGTCGTTTTGGCTGTGGTTGTGTTTGTGGTTGTGTGCTTGTCTTTGTGCCTTTGTGATTGTGGCTGTGGTTGCGTTTGTGGTTGTGTGCTTGTGATTGTGTGTTTGTGATTGTGTTTGTGGCTGTGTGTTTGTGGTTGTGTTTGTGATTGTGTTTGTGGTTGTGTGTTTGTGGTTGCGTTTGTGATTGTGTTTGTGGTTGTGCTTGTGGTTGTGTGTGTGATTGTGTTTGTGGTTGCTTGTTTGTGATTGCGTTGGTGGCTGTGTGTTTGTGATTGTGTGTTTGTGATTGTGTGTTTGTGGTTGTGTGTTTGTGGTTGTGTTTGTGATTGTGCTTGCGGTTGCGCTTGTGGTTGTGTGCTTGTGATGGTGTTTGTGGTTGGGTGTTTCTGGTTGCGTTTGTGGTTGTGTGTTTGTGATTGTGTGTTTGTGATGGTGTGTTTGTGGTTGTGTGTTTGTGGTTGTGTTTGTCATTGTGTTTGTGGTTGTGTGTTTGTGGTTGCGTTTGTAGTTGTGTTTGTGGTTGCGT